CCCCTCCCCGCACTGCCCCTCAGCCTGTGCACCCCGGTGTGTGTATGCGTGTGTGTGCATGTGTGTGCGCCCCGTGAAACACCAAAGATTATTTTCTTTGTGACTGCTTCAGTCTTTGGCAATCAAACTAGAGTCAATGTTTTATTCCATCATCCAGAGTTGACCAGATGCCTTGGTTATGGGCTCTTACAGGCAATAGCTTGCTTGATGGACATGAATGCGTTGTTGGACAGATTTCACAATTACATCTTACCGCATCTGAGAGGGGAAGACCGAGTTTGTCACTGCAACTGTGGAAGGTAAGTTACCTGCATCCGATCTCTCTCACCTCTTCCCCCCCAACCCCTTCCCACCTCATCGCACTGGAAAGGCGCAGAGAGGTGGTGGCCAGCGGCAGGGTGCTGCTGGCTGGGCTACCATTTTTGCATTCTGGCTGTGTCTCACCTTCCTCAGCAGCTCCTGCATGAACACAGGGGGGGTTTTGGTTTTCCGGAAGAAGAGTTTTCTGTGGGCCTGGAAGTCTATTCTCCTTTGTGTGCATGCTTGTGTATGTGCATCTGCGAGCCCCGGGAAAGTGAGTAACTTTCATTTCAACGCTTGTCGTTTTGCCTTTGCTGTCACTGGGCTGTGTTGTTTCTCGCTGTGTTTGTGGTCTGGGTGTTGCAGTTGGTGGTTGCGTGGCTTAAACGAAACGGGGTTTGGAGAACCGAGCGGATCTGGGTCCAGGAAGGAGTGTTGCTGTCTAGGACAGCGTCGCTTTGAGGCTTCGTAACCTTTGATCAGCGTTTAATGCTCTGTGACTTTTCTCCCGGGAGTTGTAACGATGCTGGACGGAGCACCCTGAGGTAGCTGGTCTGTGCTTTTGTGAAGCCCTTTAGTAAGCTGAGAGCGTCGGGATGGATTCTGTGCCAGGACTAACACCTTTGCTGTGTACAAGTTTATGACTGGACAAACACCTGCCTCTCTCCATGGCTGTCTGGCAGAGCTTAATTCTCCTACACAACGTCGCGCTTCTCGTGTCCTGTGTGATCTCTGAGGTGCTCAGCTCACAGCTGGGCTTCGGCTGCTTGCTGTGTTAGAGCCTGGGGACTGAGATTTGGGGAGGTGAATTTCTCTCTTCTCTCCGGGACTGCTGTCAGGAATCCTTATCCTGCACTTCTAGAGGCCTTGTTCCCCTCCCGGGCCTGGTTACTCCCTGCCTGCTGGAGAGTTTCTTGTCTGGGGGGGGGAGTAAAGCAGCATGAGGCTGTGCCAGCTGAAGGGTGTGCTGGGGGGGCCTTCCCCTGCCACAGCCAACATTTAGATTGAGCTTTGCTCCTCTCTGAGCTGCCCCCGGAACCAGCTGCCCCCAGGCATCGCATCTCTCTGGTGTCCCTGGGGTGGGAGCTAAGCTGAAACCGGGATGTGCACAGCGGGATGAAGGGAAACTGCTTCGCCCTCCTGCTCTGCTCCATTCACCAAAGGTGATCGTTACCTTTCTCCCCACGGTTCCTCCTCGGAGTCCTGTGGCAGAACAGGGAAGAATCCTCAAGCAGCACCTCTAGGGCCAAATGGAGCCAGGCCTTTGGAGTAAGCAGACCCTAAATACCCGGCACCTCGGGCACCTCTCTGTTAAGGTCATTTGGGAAGACTGTGAACAAGAAACATCCACAGTTCTCTTTTGCTTTTTTGGCAGAGATTAGCTTTCTCTTGGGTAATTTTTTTTTTGAGTCGTCTTGATGTTTTTCACTAGTTTAAGAGTTTTCCTCTGCCCCTTCAACCGATTTTTCTTTTTTACTTGTCAGAGCTGTGTTCAGTGGTGGTGAAAATTGGCTGCCAGTAATAGACTTTAACATCGTCTGGAGCGACTGAGGAGTGTCAGCTCTCACTGGTGGTGTTGGCAATGTCCCTTCTGCCCAAGTCTGAGGAGGTGGCAGGGGCCCTCCTCTCTTTTCTAACTGTATGTCTGCAGAGATGCTGTTGAGGCAGATAAATTAGCCATGGCACTCTCCCCAGACATAGTTAGGTCATTTCTTAGAAAGTGCACAAAACAGCTTCCAAATTGTCAAGCACGGATCTGAGAGGAAGCAAAAAAGCAGAAGCTTACCAGTTCCCTTTGGTGTGTAGCAGCAATGACTCCTTGCCAACAGAAGTAGCGTACCAGTTTCCACTCCTGGGCATGGGCACTGGTTTCAACGTGTTCATGCTCTGCAGTGGGAGACGCTTGCACAAACCATCTCTACGCTATGGCACTTCGGCCTGATGCTAAGGTTTGGTCTGTGATCCTCACCGTGAGCTCTGACCTGCTGCCTGAATGCTGGTGTTCCGAGTTCTCTGGTATTTAAAAGGCAGGTGATGCTGAATGTGCCTCGGCTTTTTTTTTTTTTTTTTTTTTTTTCTCTGAGTGCAGGCCTTCAGAGCACGAGCCGTACGCAGTTCTGCCTCGCGCGAGGCAAGGCCGCATCCTGGAGCGTGTTGTGAACAGTGGCACCAGGGATTGATAAAGGACTTAATTTGCCGATAACCAGAAGGAGTCCTTGGAGGAGGGAACTGAGTGCAGCGTTGCAGGGAGGAATGGGGAAAATCAGTAAATGTTGCAGAAATGGAAGGGAAGGAGGAAATGGAATGAATTCTGTGCAATAGGCTGAGCTGCTGTGATGACTTTTTCCCCCCTGCCCTAGCCTCGGTTGTAGTGTAGTCACACCAGCTAATTAATTCTGAAATGTTTTCCTTCCACTCTCCTATCCTGGTTGCATCCTTCCTCGGGGTATCAGAGTGGACTCCTTCCCCAGGAATGGTTTACCCTGTCCAAGCACCCCAGGCTGGACTGTGAGTACGTGGCCTTGGGCATCCAGCGCAGAGCAGGCTGTGCTCTCCAGCAGGAATCGGAACTTATGTCAGCGCGAGGGGCTGGGGACCGTTGCCTTGCTGGTGGGGGCTGCGGGTGGCGAGGGCTGACCGTGTGTGTCTCGGGTGCCAGGGGATCTGGAGCTCTGTGCTCTGCCCCTCCCAGGCCTCTGTCCCACCTCGTCCCTGCACGGCTCCAGGGAAAAAGCCCAGACTTCAGCCCTTGGCTGTCCCTGCCGCTCTTTGGTGCTCAGTTGCCCTTCCCAGCCAGAAGCCCTGGGCATTTGGCTCCCGGCTCAGGCCGCAGCAGGCAGATGTGTGTCATTCTCCACAGCCCAGATCCCTGCTCCCTTGGCAGTGGGACGGGGCCCTGGCCATGTTTCCAGCTCCCTCTCCTCACTGGTTTCTGGCCACGCTTTCTGGGCAAGGGCATGAGCTGTAGCCAGGGGTGCCCCAGGCTCTGTCCACACTTTGGTGGCTCCAGGATCGTCAGCATCGCCTGGGTGCGTGGCCAGGAGGGCAGACTGTGCTGGCTCAAAGAGCTCTTCAGGCTGCGTGGAGGCTCTCGCTGGGGTCTCTCCTCATGGGCCGTGACGTGTCTTTCCCCGGACTCTGCCCTGTTCCCCTCTCCATGGGGGACTGGGCCAAGCTAGAAGGTCCCAGGACAAGTGAAAGGGAGTGCTAGCGTATGGCACCCCGCCTGCTCCTTCCTGAAATGCCTTTGCCTTCTGGAAAGGGCCTCATTTCCTGCAGCTGGGGACTATACTTGTTTTTTTTCCCCATGTCCCGAAGCGCTCGCTGCGTTAGCAGTGACTGGGGAGAGTCACTGGGGTCAAGACATCTGGGGAAGAAAACCAGCCCCGTCTTCAGACGCTGCTGAACGCTGGGCACTTGGCACTGCTGGGGCCGATCTTGCTGTGCACATCCCGGGGGGGGTCAGGGTTACCGGGGCTATTTGGGGCTGAAGCTGATGCTTATCACTTTGTCAGGAGCAAGGCAGCAATCTGTTGAGGTGAGAGTGACCCTGGCAGGGGCTTTTTGGCTGGTGTCAGAAGGGAGCTTGGGGTCTCTTGCTGGACACGGGAGAACGGAGAGGGGGTTCGTGAAGGTTGGGCTGTGCAAAGGCTTCAGCCACTGCCTGTGGGGCAGGGACCGGAGCCCACGGCTGGTCTGGAGGTGCTCAAGCAAGCTGTCCTCCTCTCCCGCCCAGTGTGAAGAAACAGGTTGTCAAGGCTGATGTGTATTTGTGGCAACACCCACCGAGACACTTCTTTCAGTCTGAGCGAGCCTGGGCTGGACAGACCCTTCGCTGCAGGAGGGGTCCTGCTCTGAGAGCGCACACGGACGGTCCTGTGGGCTGGGGGGGAGCAGGCAGACGTACCCATCTGTGCTGCCAGGCTGGGCTGGTGCTTTCCCACTCGCTGCCCTGCTGGAGCCAAGGAGGGCAAAGCTGCCAGAGCCCCTGAGGCCACTCAAAGTGCATCTACAGCTGTTCAGTGGGAAAACAGCCCTGCCAGTAGCTGGGGAAGGGAAGCTGGTGTAGCGGTGGTGCACGGAGGGAGAACAGCAGCAGAGAGACAGGGCTGGCCCTGGCACCTGGCGCTGATACTGAGCCTGCACCCGCACGCCTGCTCTGACAGGGACTGTTCCTCTCTTAACATCTGCCTTCTTGCTGGAGGAAGGAGGGGTGACAGCCACATTTACACTCCTGCTGGCTCCTGTCGATGCTGTGCAGGAATGTGCCTGCTGGAGCAGATTCCTGGGGGAGCTTGGCACTCTGTCCTCGGCGTGTGGAGATACTCAGGCTCTCCAAATCACTGTGTTGGGGCCTGTTGGCATGCAGGCAGCCCAGCCCCTCTGGTCCTACCTCCCTGGGAGGTACCTGTGCCCGCGGGAGAGCAGGGCTGTGGGGGACAGCAGAAGTGCAGCGCTGCCCTGGCCCGAATGTCTCTGTCCCAGCCAGTAAAGGGTCCTCTCTGGAAGCAGAGCTGGCAGCAGATCAGGAGCTGGGTGATGTCATGCAAAGGAAAAACACCAAAGGGCGTCGGTGGAGGCAGGGTGTGTTGGAGAGAACAGATGACACCTGCATGGAGCAAGGACCCGTCAAAACAGCCTGGGGGGGGTGGGGTGTGGAAAAGCCCCCGTCTGGGAAAGGACAGGGACCTCAGGCGCTCTGGCATGAATTCTTCTTGCCACTGACCTTCTGAGTGACCTTGGGTGAGTCTGTCCCTCCCAGGCAAAGTCTCCCCCCATGAGCAGGGTTAGAAGGGACTGTCAGCCTCACCTGGATGCCAGTACCCTGCAGCAGAGCTGGGGGCCTGGCCAACCCTCAAGTCAGCTCTTCCTGTCCGAGGGATGCGTGCTTTCACTGGGCGCTGATCCAGGAGGGAAAGGCTCGTGGCAGGGCGATGCCAGAGCTCTCCTGACGCGTGGAGACCCTGCAGCACGATGGGCTGCTTCCTGGGAGAGCGGC